GAAGACTTTGTGCAATCTGTGCACCGGAGTGAAGTTAGGCTGACCGGAGCGAGGTGACTGTTTGGGTCAGAAAATAGAACAGGATCAATAAACCGCCTTAATGTACACGTTTGTGTGTAAAACGAATGGGACGGCTGTTCCGAGGGTGCGTGGGAAAGTGATGACATGTGGAGGCGTTTTGAGGAGGCCTGCTTACAACATGGCAGAGGTCGCAGTCATTAGGCTTATGAGCGTGAGAAAAGCGCAGCAGGCTGTGTTCCACAGGCAGAAGCAGAGATCTTTCAGATTCGTGTGTCCACGAGTGGGGCCCGAGAAGCCAGAGCAATTTTGGGCGGGTCTCTAAGGCCACTGTGATCATGGCAAATTTAGCAACTAGGCTCGCCTCTTGGCCTGCCCGTGTTGTTTTGACCGTCGCTCCCTCACCTCTCCGTTGAATGCGCACTAAATGGGTGAAAATGAGAGCAGACATTTATTAAATTCATACGTTTTTGTTCATACTTCAACATTCAATCCAGGCCATGCAGTAAATAGACTTTAGATTAGTAAGTTCAGGCTTGCTCGCACCTGCGCACTATTGATATTGTTACTGTTCGTTAGACAAGCTCTAAATTCTACTATTTTGACAAGAATAAGTCCTATTTATTGACTGTGAGTCTATAAACTTTTAGCAAAGCTGAGGAATAAGGTTGAAGGCTTCTGAATTGGTGCTAAATTTTGAAATCGGCTGTCAAAAAAGCGTGTTAGCGTCAGATATTTAAAACAAGAATAACAACCTCATTATGAGAACATACTACTATCAGTAGTAATTTATTTTAAGTTGAATATGCCTTGGGGAATTGCGTCCTTGTTCTATCTAGCACTATGCTAGTGGTCATCCGAATCAGAAATGGCTAGTCTTTTATATGGTGTAATAGAAAAGTCAGTGGAATTCAAGCCATTCTTGCTGATGGGAAGAGGATTCCCGATAATTCTAACCAATTGAAAATGCTATAATTTGTCTTCTTCGACACGTACAATATCTTTAAATGGCATAACTCCGGTCGACAGTCCCTGACATGCATTCCACCATCTTGCTTCAATGTAAATTATCGTCTAGTTAATCGCAATTACAGAGACCAAAATGGTGGGGCCTTTATTTTGGTCACAGTCTCCTTTCGGCGTATAGAAGTGGTTTAACTTCAACTTGTTCATGTTGTTAGGGGGACCTCGAGGAAAACATCTTGTCAGAAGTCCTTTGACATAGTAGTCATGATAGTTTCCAGCATCTTAACATGGACTTGGTACACTCATAGACATTTCGCCAGCCTCGTATTTGGCATCGACGGTGAGTCTTGCTGCTCTAAACACCAAGACAAGTGAGTGTGGATGGCATTATGGCGATGATTAAAGGAAAATTAGGATGGCGAATTACGCACAAAAGTGAATATGCCTACTTTTCTGTGAACTAACTCATAAACTATGACCAATATTAGGAAAATGTAATATTCAGATGATCATGGAGAAAGCGTAACACTTCACAGGCTTACACATGCAAC